TTGAATAGGGATATATTGTTTGTTTGTTGTATATCTATTATCCAAACCCTAATTCTAATTGTAATTGTAAATGATTTTTCTCTATAATACATATAAACATTTCCTTCGTCTTTCTTTACTTGTACATATCAGTAATAAATAAATTTTTTGTATTTTAATAATTTTTTATTGACATATTTTGGCACTTTTGGAGCTTAAAATAGAATTCTGAGCAAATTTTCGGAATTAAATTTTGGCTCTCTAATTATGAGTCATGATTAAAGCTGTGATAGTTAGGCATGTAAAATCAGTGAAATAGGCGCCTAAAATAGGCACCAAAAAGCCAAAAAAGGCACAAAAATAGGCAGGTAAAAAAAGTTATCTGGCTTATAAAATTAAGCTAAAAGCAAAAAATAACCATTTATTCGTCATTTTTTTAATTATAAACTATTTATTAAAACCTTTTGCCGTTTATTCAAAATTTTTAAACATTTTTTGAGCAAAAATGGAGTAGTTTTTAAAAAAATGTCGATAACTGACAAAAAGTAAATCTCGTCCAACCCACAAAACGACCCACGACAAAATGTCCCACACCAAAACGTCTAATCTCAAAATGTCCAATAGAGTAAAAATACTCAATTTGTTGTACTATACATTAAAAATGGGAGTTGGCACTGATTTTTTTAGATTTTTCACTGATTTTTAGGCAAAATTTAAAAAAATCGCTAAAAAAGGCAAAAATAGTACCGAAAATTACAAAATAGGCAAAAAGGCTCAAAAAGTCCGAAATAGGCAGAAATTTATAATATTAATTTAATGGTCCACGTGAAAATTTTTTTGATTATGTAAACAGAATTTTTATTGAAACGAAAAGTTTTCTAAGTCGTAAACAATAGCAAGGCGTTAAAAAAATGAAAAGAACATACTAAATAAGAGAAAAAGATTTTCCTCTGACTCTTTCAAAATTTTAAATGTAAACATCGAGTGCCCAGACAAAATGGTGCACAACAACAAGGTACAAAAGACCTAATCAGTTAAGACAGTACAAAAGACCTAATCAGTTTGGATGGTTCAAAAGACTAATCAGTTTATACCGTACAAAAGACCTAATCAGTTAAGACAGTACAAAAGACCTAATCAGTTTGGATGGTTCAAAAGACTAATCAGTTTATACCGTACAAAAGACCTAATCAGTTAAGACAGTACAAAAGACCTAATCAGTTAAGACAGTACAAAAGACCTAATCAGTTTATATAGTACAAAAGACCTAATCAGTTTAGATAGTCCAAAAGACCTAAACAGATTTAAAAGTACAAAGGATCTAACTGGTTTAAAAAGCACAAAAGGGCAAAAGAGTTAAAATGTACAAAAGGCCTAACTAGCTTAAAATAACAAAAAGTCTAACCTTTGTAAAAAATACAAAAGACAAAATTGAAACGAAAGATAAAAAATATTGCATAAGTCAAAAATGTTGTTTATTTAGTAATTTGGATTTGAAATAATAGGAATTCAAAATTTTTGAATTTACTGAATAAGGAACTATGATATAGTCTAAGTCAAAGACTAAAAAAGTATGAGAGACTAATTAAGATTAGATAAAAGAGCGGAAACTCAGGAAAAATGTTGACGAAAGGGTCCAGAATGTTAGAGGTACGTCATTAATGAGAGGCAAAGATCAGGACAGAACGACCTAAGGAATTTTCAATTTTTTGTTATGAAAACAAAAAACAATTAAAAACACTCGAACATAAAAATTTCTGATGCGCGGCCGCCGCGAGCGAAGCGAGCACGGCCGTCGCGAAGCACAAGGATCTTGCTGTGAAAACATTCTGGGTTTTTATCAAAAATAAGCTTATCAAATTTGCAGCAAAATATATTTGATACAATTAATAGTGATATAATCAAATATAATCCACGTTTTTACGGTATAACGTGGATTTTGTGAAAGGTTTAAAAAGATTGATGAATTAAGAGAGATATTAAGTGATTTGAGGGATTAATAGAGAATCAATGTTTTTAAGACAGAAAAATTAAAGATTTGGGGATTTAACATAGATAAGGGGTTTGAAAAGAACAACAGCAGGCAAATTAAGGACTTTGGAGACTTGACACATAGATTTTTTAAAAAAGAGGATTATTATGTGATGGTTTGTAGAGAAACTAAGAGATTTGTGAAGGTTTTGGGGGATTAGCAATATTTAATTGTTTTGTTTGATAAAAGAGAACAAGAATACAAAATGAATAAAGGGTGAAAGTGATAATTTTGAAGATTAATATGCAGGGGTGGTAACAGAGTATTAATAATATTATTAAGTAGTTAAAAAGGGATATCTGAGATTTCGGGGGCGATTAAAAGTGATATAGGGTTCTGGACAGAATAAGAGTTAGCTGAAGTTTGAAGCAGTTTAAAATGTATGTCGTTAGAAGAAAAAGTATTGGCGATTTGAGAGTGATATCGGAAAATATCAGTGCATCAAGAGGGGAAAACGTGATGAATGCAGATATTAGAGGATTAGAAGAGTTAACAAAAAAATAGAAAGGATATCGTGGGGTTTGATGGGTTTACATGCGTTAGTGGTGAATCAAGATAAAAAAGATAAATATAGAGGATTTTAATGCCGGGAGAAGGGAGAGATTATGTGAAATATGGCGATTTTTAAGTGTTTAAGAAAAATTTTGAGGTTTAGCGGATTTTTAGAATAAAGAAATTTAGAAAAAAAGAGATAGGGATAAAGAGATTAACAATCATTTTGTTGCAAAAAGACAGAAATACAGTTAAAAAAATAAAGCGTGGAGGATATCTGGGATTTTGAGTTGAAATGGATATCGGGATATATGAGAGATAAAGAGGATATAATTTTAATGTGATGTCGTTTATTTAAAGTGATAAAAAGGTATAATTGGGTGATTTTGAGAAAAATAGGGATGATTCTTTTCTGGGGAACAAAAGTCGATAAAGTACTCAGGTATAAAATAAAACACGAATTCAAGGGTTAGAGCTATTTATCCGGTATTTAAGGTCAATAAGAAGTATTAAGGAGGTTCTTCGATAAAAAAAAGAATAATAGCTGATTAAGACGGAAAAAGGTGGTAGAGATCATAAATGACAGAAATGATCCAGCACAGGATCTGTTCTGTTGTTAGATCACTCAACCATAGATCAGTTTCATTTCTGGACGAGAAAACAAAAGTAGGAAAAGAGAAAGAGATCAGTTACATAAAAGGGTGAGAAAATGATCAGTGTCAGCTCAAAAGAAAGTAGATCAAGATTGCAATTTGATTAAAAGTGATATGCGTTATTTGAGTAAAAAGATGATTACAGACGGAAAAGGTTTAGGATTTGTGGGAAAAAAGTAAAAACAGAGAACGAGGTGGTAATAAGTGCTTCAGGAATTTGAGTTGTTCAAAAATATCGTGGATTTAGAAAAAGTGAGGGTGAAACAATTAACAGTTTAAGTGAAAGACACTCCTGAATTTGAGAGAAAAGGAGACCTGACGAAAGGGTAAGAAAACAATACCAGGGAAAAGCATAAGAAGAGACAGAGTCTGTAAAGCCGACAGGTCACTAACAACCACAATAAGTTTTTTCAATGCTTTTAAAGAAGGTTAGAATAGACAACGAGGGATTTGCAAAACAAGAGGGAGATCCAGGATTTGGTGGGTTTAAAAATGATTTAGCGATTTGGTGAATATATCGAGTGTTGGGGCGGGTTAAAAAATTATATACAGAAACTTTGGGGTTAGAAGCGTTGGGGTAACCAGGGAATAAGCTATTAAAATATATTTATAATAGATATCAAGGAATTTAGGAGGATATCAGTGTATTATGGAATAAAATATGTATCGTGGGATAGAGATGGTTCTGCGGGATTAAATGATAATATCTATGGATTCGTGATTAATAAGAGTTAAATCGGGTGTTTAGGGGGTTAAAAGGTTAAAACAGAGGATTTAGAAAACCAAAGAGTGATATAAATTAGTTTTGTGTGTTAAGGGTAATAGATGGAATTTTGGAAAAATTGATATCTGAGTCTTGAGAAATTTAGGGGTTGGGGAATAAAAAATGTTATCGGATGTTTGGAAGAGTAAAGCGTGATATAAAGAGTGATGTCTGCGGATTAAGGGTTCAAACGACATTGTTATTTTGGGCTATTATCAGGGATATTAGGGGATTAATGAAATTGGAGGATTCGAGAAAGATTAAGGGTTATAGCAAGTAGGGGGGATAAAGTGAGATATATGGACTTCGAGAAGCAAAGAGGTTATGGTGATTTTGGGGAATTCGGTGTGGTATAGGAGAAACCTGAGGATTGGGAGTGACTAAGAGGTATATCAGAGAATGTTGGGGATAAAATGTGATATCGGGACTTTGGAAAAATAAGGAGTTATTCCCTTGGTTTGGTGAATAGAGAATAAAAGGTATTTCGGAGAATTTTGGGTGATCAATGGTAATATATTGATTTTAAAGATGATTAACGGAGGACATTGATAACAAAGGGTAATGTCATGGATTTTGGGGTTTGAGAGATTAATTGATATATTAGAGGATTTGAGATTAGTATGATGGTGAAATCAAAGGTTAAATCTAAAGACCCAAGGATTAAGGTTTAGAACATAAAAGCCTTTGAACATAAAAGAACATCAAAACGTATAATACGAGCGTTAGGACGCCGCGAAGCGGCGTCCTAACGCTCGTAGGCAAATTAAAAGTCATGCTAGACGCTTCGGACCAAGCTAAAAACACGTTTTTTGAACGTATTACATCATCCCAAGCTTGCAGAAAAAATAGGCATTTGCCTATAAATCACAGCCTTAGTCATGATCGAGTAATTGAAATACTTGGTTAACTGTAGAATTGTTTGCCTTGAATCGCCCTTTACCGGGAAAAAATTTTATTTTGGCATAATGTTTTAACTTATTTTTTGCAAAATAAAAAGTTTTTTTGGTGGTGGGCTAAAAATTTTCGCTTTTGTTTTTCTAATCCCATTTAAAAATTTATTCTTTTTTTAATTTTCAGCAAAATGTATTTTGATTTTTCCTTTTTATTTAACGAATTATTACATATTTTATTAATTCTTTTGTTGTCAATTGGGCCTCTTTGTTTTTACTTTTTGTTGGCAATTTTCTCCCACAATTTTCTAAAAAAAAGTTTTTCAACCCAAATTAATTCAAAAACTGAACAAAAATTTGACAAAAAAGTTTTTTTAATTTAAAAATAAATTTTAAATTTAATTTTTAAAGGAATTACTAAATGCTTTTTTAATTTTTAAATCAACAAATAATTGGCAAAATAATAAAAGAATTGAGGATGCTTTGGATTTAGCGTTACAAGATAATTCTGAAATATTTTTTAGAATGAATTTGAAAGAATGCCCAATTTGGAAAGAAAATGAATTGCCTGATGAATTTATTGAAAATGTTAAAATTTTGGAGAAAAATTATAAAATGATTGTTAAGGAAATGGAAAAGGTTTGTTTTTTAATTTAAAAAAAATTAAAGAAATGGTTACTTTTCTGTTATATGACCGCAAACTAATTGCCAGCAGAATTTTGATCGGCTATAATTTTTCAATGCTGATTTATCAAGTTTGAAAAAACGATACCCTTATCGAGGTCTTTCGATTGATATAAAATTCATTGTTATTGGATCAAGCATTAAAAAGTTATAGCCTATCAAAATTTTGCTGGCATTCAGTTTGAACCAAAAAATGTTTAGAAAATATTTTTTTGGGGTTTTCCCTAATAAAAAATGCCCTTCTGGTTATCCCAATTTTTGTTTTACATTTTATCCATTTTTATCTTAATTGGCTTATTTTTTACTCTCAAATAATTTTTCATAAAATCAATATATTTTTAAGGCATTTAAAACGGGACATCTTTGGATTAAAAATGAAAATATCCACACCAAAACTAGTTGGTTTACTTATTTTTTGATTAAAGATGGAAATTGGCAAAAAGAATGTTGTAATGAATGTCCGGAATTGGTTAAATTGTTAAAGGAATTTGATGAAGGTTTTTTTAATTTTAAATTATTTTTGAATACTCCAAAACTTAGATATTTTTTAAAAATTTTTTACAAAATTTCCTGATGTTTTTGAATTAAATATTCAACAAAAAACAATTCTTTAAATAAATATTATTTGATTCTCCATTTTTTCCCAGATTATTTATTAAATAATTGTTCTTTTGGAAATGTCAATTTTTCCATGTTGCCCGCAAATTCAGCAATTCCGGAACATATTGGGACAACAAATGTTAGATTAAGAATTCATTTTGGATTAGAAATTCCTTGTGGAAATGGAAAAGAAAATTGCTTTATGAAAGTTGGGAATGAGGTTTTTTTGAAAATTATTTTTAACGAAAAGAACGTTAAAAAAGTTTTTAGAAATTTTTAGAACGCTAAAAAGTCTATTTTGAGCGTCTCTATATTCTAAAAATAAAAAATGTCTTGAGAGGTTTTTGAAAATTAATTTTAACATTTCTAAATAAATAATTAACCTCAAAAAAATTTTTAAATATTTTTTTCAGAAATTTCATTGGACTTCAGGCAAATCAACAATAACCAACACTTCTTTTTTGTTTGTTTTTATTTTTAATTTTTAATTTATTTTTTCAGTCATTCTGTTTCGTCTGTTGGATGTTCTGAAGACAGAATTGTTTTAATTGTTGACTTTTGGCATCCAGAATTGACTAAAGAAGAAAGGGGAATATTAAAAAATATATTTCCTCCAAAAAGTATTTCTTAATTATTTTAAAAAGAATGGATGGATGGATCTCTTTTTTTGTTTTTTAGGAGCTTTAAGTAAAATTTTTATAAAATTTTTGATTTTTATTTTAAAAAAATTATTTAAATAATTTATATCAATTAAATTAGGGTTCGACACAACCGTTTATTAACCGGTACCCCCGGTTTTCGGTTCTGAGATTTAGTCAAATATCGGTTTTATTTTTGGGGAATTTTTAATAAAATCACTCATTTTCAGGAGTTTTCGGTTTTTAAAATTTCATAAAAACGGTTAGGTTTTGGCAAAAATTCTCAGAAATTCCAGTTTTAAAACTGGTCGTGTCCAACAATAAATTAAATAGAAATAAAATTAAAAAAATATTTTTAAAGAAATATTTCTAAAGAAAAAGGAATTAAATTAATTATATTTTTATAAAGAAAATAAAAAATATTAAAAACAAAATAAAATTAAAAGAAATATTTAAAGATAAAGAATTAGATTTTAAAGGAATAGCTTCTACCCACGTTTCACAAAAATTACAATAATCTGTATCTGCACAAATTTTGATTAAAAATTCAATATCCTTCCATAAACTGAAAAAAAAATTAAAAAAGAATGTAATTTATTTTATTAAATTTTAAAATAACGAGTTCACTCCAAAATACCTACACCCAGAAGACCTTTCTCCAAAAAGATCTACTTCAGTTTTATCAACTTAGGGGGATATGGGTGGATTAAAGGGGATAAGGATAAATTTGAACGTATTCGGGGGAGTTACCATGATTAAGGGGAAAAAGACCTACATTCTGATCTTCTGGGTGGTAGGTCTTGAGGGTTGACCCCTAATTAACAGACTAAAAATTTTTTGCAAATTTATTTAAACTTTGTTTTTATGAAAAATTTATCCCATTTTATTACTTCTAAATTTAACAAAATTATCCTCTCTTTTTTCTAAACTTACATTCTTTGACATTGATTAAGAAAACTAAAAGGTGCCAATTCATTTGCATATTTAATTAGTGGTGGATCCCCAATACATCCTCTACGTAAATTAAATTGATAGGGATTTGTTGTGTTTTTGGCTCTAACTTTAAAGAAAATAAATATTTTTTTTAATTTAAATAAATAAATCTACTCAAATAACAATATTTATCGTTACAAGTATCCCATCCATACAAACATTCTTGTGCGTTTGTACATTCTTTTCGATGGCAAATTAGTGCTACAAAAATATTATGATTATTTTTTTGTTCAAAAGTACGTATATTATAGAGTGTGAGATTTTCTATAAACCATGATTTTAAGTGAGGACCTTGACCATATTCTTGATCTCGATTCAAGGAAAAATCAAGCCTTGATCTGGACTCTGGATCCAGGAAAAATCAAGGTATGGATCCAGTTCGCTCTAATATATTCCTTTAAAAATATATTTCTTCCTTTCGAGTACGAAGGATTTCTTATAATTCTAGGGAATACATTCTAGGGAATACAATCGAATAACCTCATTTTTTATTTACTTCTTTGGAGCCAGATAAGTTGTGTCTTATAACGAGGGATATATTAGATTGGGGATAATGCTTAAACAACTCCCTCATCCTCTTAAATTGCGTTGTATTTATTAATTTTGGAGGTCTAAATTAGGTTTTGAAAATATTTTAATTTCCGTAAAAATAAATTATTTAAATAAAAAAAAACAAACTTAAAGCTTCATCCATAATTAAAAATATTATAGCAAAATAAACAAACATTTCCAGCTTCATTTTTAATTCAATTCCTTACCTTTTTTGTTGACTGATTTTAAAAACAGACAATAAAAAAGAATGAAAATGATTTTACTCATTTACTTTTTCTACCATTTTTAGATTATTTTAAAAGGAAAAAAAAGAAATTTATTTGAGAAAGAAAGATGAGTTGGCAGAATTTGTTTTTTCCTTTTTCTTTTTTTAAATCTAATCCTGAATTGTCTAAAAAATATTTTTTCTTATTTTTATCGATAAAAACTTTCTTTTGTTAACAGAAATAAAGCTGATTTCTTTATTTGTCTTTCAGCTCCTGATGCCTAGATGAAATTACTTTTTATTAAAACTTTACGAAATTCTCATTTGATTGAGTAAAGCAGCTGGGCCATAGCTATTTCTTTCCTTTAGTAGTGCAAAAGGTTAATCGGCGACTGGGAGCGAACCAGCATCTCCAGTAGACGGACTGATGTGTTATCCATTACAACACGCCGTCCACTGCACAGCCTTAGGAATTAAATAGCTATATGCTTTACACTTATTACAACTTCACAAAATTCTCATTGAATTGTGTTTATTAAAAATCAAATTAATTTAGAACAAAAACCCCCAAATAAAATTTACACAAAAATTAACATTTACAATTAAAATATATTTATTTAAATACAACAACATTTACATAATAATCTCTCTATATTTATTTATTCTTTAGGCAATTGGCAACTATGTAAATTGCAATATACCGTATCCACATATCCCCTCAATGATTTATTCATACAAGTCCCATCATCCCTCCCACAAGATCCATAACAACGTTCAACTTTGCGAGTAGCTGTTGGCAATTTATAATTATCCTTATGTCGATCAGTGCAGGGAGCACTACAATCACCCCAATCACTCCAAATAACCGAACACGCACTAACATCCTTTTGGTTTTCCAACATTTTCAACTGAAATGTGAAAATTAAAGATTAAAAGAAATTCCTTTTTAATTATTCACCTCTGCCTTTCTTGACAAATTTACCATAACCAAAATAATAATAATGATGAGCATAACGATCTAAAAAAATTTTTTTTTAATTTTACATATTTTTAAAATTTATATTTCTTACAGCTGTGAGGTAAAACATAAAGTTTAGAATCGTCAAAGTCGTCATTACAGGACTTCGAATCAAACGAAGGAATCGATGAATGCTTTAATTAAATATTTAATTAGATTATAATCTCAAGTCCTTACAAGTCTTTGCATTTTCCCTCAGATTTTCGATATTCCATTTCTTTTTCGATGCATGAAGAGATGTCACTGAGCTTTAAAGAAAAGATTTTGTTTTTCAAAAAAAAACTTTTTGTTTTTTCCAACCTTAGCTGTCAAAGACCCAATACTTCCAATCTCATTCCGAAGCGGCGGAGCAACAGTATCCTCATCAACCACATCTAAACGAGATGACCAAATCATGGAGTCGTTTTGTTGATGTGGAATTGGTTCTGGCTCCTTTGGTTCTTCGACAAGCTCAGCCGACACTTCAACAACAGGCCCTCCCTCCACGGGCTCTTCCTCCATAGGCTCTTCCCCAGGCTCATCCATTTTTCAGAAACTTAAAATTGAACAAAATTAAAAAATTTTAGCAAAAGATTTAAAAGACTTACTTAGAAGATTTATAGAAGAAAATAAAGAATTTTTAACAGGAGAATAATAGAATAGATTTTGACCAAATTTGAGTGTTTTTATAGTGAGTTATCTACTGATTTATCTACTGATTAGTACATTTTCTTATTATAAAAGCAGATAAGCTCTTCCTTAATCTGAAGGGATACTCTGTAAATTGTTTTGCCAAGTTTCTTCATTGCCATCAACAACAACAAAAACCAAAAAATGTCTGCAGAAGATCAAATGGCCAATCCTCTTGCTGTCGGAACAATTGACGAACAGTTGGCTATTGCTAAGGAGCATATTGAGGCTTTGGTTGTTGATCATGTAAAAATTTTAAATATTTTTTTTCTTTGATTTTTTTCAAATTTTAGAGACACTTCACAGCTCGTTGGCTAACTAAAATCAAAGAGAATGCTGGTCTAACAATCGACGAATGGGCATTGGCAAAGATTTTGGTCAATCTGTTTGGTTTGTGGTTGACAATTTCTGAACGTGCCGATTTTGTTGCAAATGCTGTTCTGTGTGGTGTGCCTCTTATTCTGACATTTTTCTATCCAGAAGAGAAGGCAACCAATGAAGATATGTTAATCTATTGGTAAATTAATGTCCTTTCAGCCTTCAAAAATTTTTTCCTTTTAATTTTTAGGCCTTGTTATGCAGTTATTACTCTCTTTGATTTTATTCTTCGCGCAATTCCCGGCTGGTATATGCTTAAAATTGTCTTCTTTTCTCTGTTCTTCCTTCGTCCCTGGCGATTGGCTTTGAAGATTAGGTTGTTGATGTTGCTATTGGAAATGAGTAGACAGACCGCTTTGGCACAACAAAGCCAATCTACCCATCATCAAAAGGTTAAACAAGAATTTTTTTCTTCTCATTTTTTCAAATTTTATAGGCATCAGCTTCAAATTCTAGTCATCGCTCTTCTGCCGTTGCTCGTCCTCAACAAAATGTTAAATAAAAAATATTTTTTCTTCTTTAAAAAATTCTTTTTCACAATTTAAGCAACAACAAATGTCCCCAGAATTAATTGCCCAACTTCTAACAGCTCTGCAAGTCACCAATCATTCTGCTAACGCAACGGAGGGGGGAACAACAACAAATACATTACCAACTCCAGAACAATTGGCAGCACTTCAAAAGGCTCTGGCTGAAGGAGGGGGAGGAAAGGAAGGGCAGCAAGGAAGTACTTACTTCGATTTGCGTGCAAAATCTAAAACTAAATTGGTCAATCCTGTCCCGAGTAAATATGCGGATGTGAAGAAAAAGGATGAGAGTAAAAAATAAACGGGAGGGTGGTTGGAAAAGTGAAGAAAGTTTGTGATAAATAAATAATATATGTAGTCCTAATAAATATTTGTATTATATCCCTTATAATCTCTAAATAGATATTTTATTGTTCCATGTAAATATAACTTTTTCCTCTTCACATTTGTTTAACAAATAAAATATTTATGTATGTTAATAAATGAGAGTATTTAAAATTATTTCAAAATATATCAAAAGATAATAGGTAATAGGAAATAAGATAATAGGATATATAATAATATTTTATTTTTTATTTCCGAAATATTTTATTTATCCCTGATTCAATTAACTAAAATCAACACCCTCCTCTAATTGGCCAAGATTTTGGCCGTGTCCCAATGAAACTGCTGCTGCACTTTTTTAATGAAAAAAGTTAATGCGATAGCGACGAGTGTTCATCATAAGATATAACAAACCTGTTACAATTTCGCAAACTAAACATTCACGAACTCTCGACCTTGATTACGAACTATAACGATTAAGGCAATAAGCCTTAAACATAACCATCAGTCATAGGTCTCCCACTCATGCATCGCCAACTTGCATAAATTTACTCTGCTATATATACGATAAGATTAATCCTTTGAGTTTATTGTCGGGGAATAGTCCAACACGAGAGTTTATAATAAAGCTAAATACTATTTCTTTACTATCTTCAGCCTGTCCGCTCTTTCTTTCACCTTTTATCCTGTTTCTGACGGCTATTAAAATTTAAACATGTCTAGGATTTGAAGTGACAGAAAAAATGGAAAAAATAATTCTTGTTTTTGTGCCAATTCCTCAACAGATGGACACATGCATATTAAATTTCGATCACCAAAAGAATCGTCTATTCGTCCACAGGATGGCCATACATAACTTCCTTGGATCCGTCCACACCATGGCTATGGCCAACCAGCTCTGTTCTCTTCTGTTCTCGACAATCTCTAAATAGATATTTTTTATCATTCGTAACGTAAATAATAATTATTTCACCCTTTTTCCATTTATTAAACAAATGAAATCGTTAATAAAGAGCTAATGAACTAGGTAAATAGTATGAAACAAAAATATTTAAGATTATTCCAAAATTTATCCAAAAGTAACATATTTTATGTCAATAATGCCAAATATTTTATTTTTTATTTCCAAAATATTTAATTTATCCCTCATTCAATTAACTATAAATCAACGCCCCCTCTCTACTTGGCACAACAGGATTGTTGATTGGCGCCACAAGTTGCTCCACAATCTTTGGAGCAATTGCAATTTGCACATTTGCAGTTCTTGCATCCATCTATTTAAAAAGAATTTTTCTCAACAAAAAATCTCGTTCTCTACCTTTACAGCAATCACCACCACTTGGGCAACAAACAGTATTTTTGCAACAATCTTCAAATAAATTTTAAAAAATTATGAGAATCAAATTAAAAGACTACCACATTCGCAAGCCATTTTTCCGTCTAAAGAAATTTAAAAAATAATCAAATAAAAATCTAAAATTGAGAGAAATTAATTCTAAAAATTTTTTAACAGGTTTAAAAATAATGTAAAAAATTATTTATTCTTTTTAAATGAAAGACTGATTAGATTAGAAATTTCTTTGAGTATTTATGTACAGAAAATATAAAAATGTATTTATTTATATAAAATATTTATCAGTCCTCTCTCTAATATTAAAAATAATTTAAACCCGCCCAAATAACAGCACAACGTTCTTCGCGTGATTAGTAAACAAAGAGGGGAGGGAAGGGGACATGAAAAAATTTTGTATAGATTTAAAAAACATTGGTAGTAAATTGGAATGACGAATTGAATAAAATACTGACAGATTTTGTAAAAAAAGGGAAGGGGGGATGGACGGGCAAAACGAGAAAAAACAACTAGTTTGTAAAGAGACAAATATTTTTTTACTTTTTTTCAAAAAATATCAATAAAATGAAAAATAAAAATGGCCAACAAGACACTAGGCTGGATGAAATATACCAAAAAAGCTGGAGAATTCTTTACAAGCCACTAAAAATATAAAAAAAAACTATAAAATGGACCATTCTTTTAGTCCCTCTTTAATAAGTAAATTATTTGCAGCTAAATAAACATCTGCGAGAATATTATATTTTATTTTTTTAATTTTACGAAATAATTGTTGATAGTAGTAGTAATTGATTAATAAAATAAGTTTTAAAATGGTACGAAAAAATGAAATAAATCCAAAATTTCATTTCTCAATTAAAAAATGGAACAACTTAAGGCAATTGGGATGGAGGAAAACAACAAAGTTCTGACCATTCTGTAGATATTTAGTAAAAAAGCTTGGGGAGGGAAAAATGGGGTCTATGAGATTCAATATTACCAAAAAAGTTACTACGATAGCAATGAGTGATCATCATAAGATATAACAAAGTATACCCGCAATTTTCGCAAACTAAGCATTCACGAAATCTCAACCTTGATTACGAAATACAGCGATTAAGGCAATAAGCCTTAAACATAACCATCAGTCATAGGTCTCCCACTCATGCATCGCCAGCTTGCATATATTTACTCTGCTATATATACGATAAGACAGGGCTCCGATTCGTACTTTTTTAAAAGTATTGTACTTTTTTATCGACCTTCGTACTTCCGAAATTGAATTTGTACTTTTTTGAAAGTATGTACTTTTTTATCAACATTTTTGAAAAAACGAAGAAATCTGGCTTAAGGACCTCCAAAATTCTCAAAATTTTCGCCTGCGGCGCAAAAAATGGAAGAAATCTGGCTTAAGGACCTCCAAAATTCTCAAAATTTTCGCCTGCGGCGCAAAAAATGGAAGAAATCTGGCTTAAGGACCTCCAAAATTCTCAAAATTTTCGCCTGCGGCGCTGAAAAAGAAATCTGGCTTCTTAGGCTCCAAATTTCAAAAAATTTTCGCCTGCGGCGCTTCTCAATGGCAAACATTCAATGGACGAAAGAAAGAAACTCGCTTGAGGTTAAGACTGTCAGAGCTTTGCTTCATGTGCTCAGTTGAAACAAGAAATTATTAGAAAAGATTAATTTAGGAGAGAAATATAAAAGATTTGATCACGAATAAATATTTTCAAATTTAATTTTGAGTGTACTTTTTATTTGCAAATTTTCTCCCTATGTACTTTTTTTACAAGATTTTGATACTTTTGAGTGGCATTTTGTCGATCGGAGCCCTGCGATAAGATTAATCCATTGAGTTTATTGTCGGGGAATAGTCCAACGCGAGAGTTTATAATGAAGCTAAATACTATTTCTTTACTATCTTCAGCCTGTTCACAGAATGCAAATAATAGATTGATTGAAAAATTAGGCTTTAAAATGGCACGTAAAAATGAAATAAAGAAATCCAGAATTTATTTTTAAATTAAAAAGATGTGAAAGAATTTAAAATGTAAAGATTTAAACAGCAAACAGTTCAGGACAATTATCCCAATTTTGCGTTTCTTTTGCCTTCCAATATTCACCCGTAAATTTATACAATGGTTGTTGTTCTTCTTTTGATAGTCCGTTTAATAAAACAAACCATTTTGGTTGATAATCTTTAAATTAAAAGGGAGAGGAAATTTATACAAAAATTTTAAGAGCTTTTTTGTCTACTCAAAGAGAGAATGTGAGCTCTGAGATTCTGTTCCGAGATACGGAAGGGGTGGAAAACCATTTAAATTTTCTACAAAACTTTGAAAGCCCCCCTTTCTTTGTCTTCAATAATTACATATTTCTAAAAAAATTCTCTCATTCATACCTTTCCCCATTTCTTTAATTCTTTCCCTTTGTGCCTGTTCTAAACACTTTTTTAAACGATTGGCAGCCCCAAACTCTCCAAGTTCACACAATCTTTGATCAGGTCTTCTTCTCGAATCTGTCGGTGCAATACCCATTTCTTCTTCATTTAATTCAATAGCAAATTGTGTAAAATTATGCATTTTGTTGGAATTTGGACTTTTTTGAAAAAAATAATTTTTTTTAATTTTATTTTGGAATTTACGGTAATTCTGTCGAATTCCACACAATTTCTTCAAAATTTGATTCTTCTCCAATTTTCAAAATTTTTGCCCATTTATCCCATTGTGCTTCAATTTGATATCTTTCAATATTTTCATTGTCAAAGACTTTCCCAGTTACCTAAAAAATGTAATTTTTAATTTTTAAAAATTTATTGAAATATTTTTTCTAGACTTTATACACAGTAATGCTAAAATTATTACATTAAACAAGAATTGCGAAATACATATTTAGATATCAATTCTTACCCTTATTTTGTAATAATAATTGGATCAGAAAAACTTAGAGGAAATATAAAGCTTTAAAGTCAGGTTAAATGAGTTAGTTCTTTAATTATATTTAATTCAAAAATTTGACCCTATCCCGAAAGAAGGGTCGAATCGTTTTTTTCATTACTTTTTATTAGTTTATAAAAATGGTCATTTTTCCTTAGAATTGATGTATGTTGATGTTTGCCTTAAGGAAAAATGGTGACAGAGGTTAACTTTTTATATTTTTCCTTGTTTTTGTTTGCTGGGCGGACTCGGAGACACAAAACACGGACGGATCAAGACGGACAAAACACAGACGAACACGAACAGACAAAATACAGACGGACCCGGACAGACACGGACAGACAAAACACGGACGAACTCGGACGGTCGGACATGTGTCCGTTTGTGTTTGGTCCATCCTTGTTTTGTCTGTCTGTGTTCTTCTGTCATTGTCTGTCCTTCTCCATTTTTCCTTAAGGCAAACATCAACATACATCAATTCTAAGGAAAATTGACCATTTTTATAAACTAATAAAAAGTAATGGAAAAAAACGATTCGACCCTTCTTTCGGGATAGGGCCAAAAATTTGCTCTTACATATTTTTTAGAATATTGTTCCGATTTTTTACAATCACCAAAAAATGTTAAAACAGCTTTAGCTTTAGAGCCTGTAATAATTAATTGGCCAATAATTTCCACTTTATTTTCATTCAAAGAATTTCCATTCTTTTTAGAATTTCCGTTATTCATTATCGAATCTAAACTTGTGGAAGTTGAAAGCTAAAATGATAGAAGGGATTTAGGTATATTATTTAAAAATACCTTTCCATAACTAAAAATATTTCCATCTTTAAATTTAATTAAAGTTTGTCCACAAGGTTTAAGGCAAATATTTGTACCCTTTAATTTTGATTCTAAAATATAGCTTTGTTGTAACGTCCAAGAACTGCTTTCTACATAAAGTGCAGATCCTGGTGGATGATGAGAAATCTGTTGGGGAATTTAATAGAAATTTGTTATAAAAGAAAAATATTTTTTGAGGAAATTTTATAGGCAACTTTATAGGTAACTTGTGGCCAATTTTATAGGTAACAAGAATATTTCAAGATTATTAACAGTTCCATTTTATGTTAAATAAAGGGGGTATACTGATAAATCTCTAACTGAATGCCAGACTTTTTGAGGAAATTTTATAGGTAAACAGGCAAATATATAAATCAAATTAACATTCTATTAGATTTTACGATTAGTAAACTCAATTTTATATAAATTCCTTTAGAGAATCCTTCTCAAAGTATTTCCATCTTTTAAGGTAAAATTAGGCAAATTTCATAAAAAAAATTAAAAGCACACTTGTTCAGCAATAGACCTCCACCCTTTATCTTCTCTTCTATCACATTCAAAAGTTTCCCCAATTAAAGGATTAAATGGTTTTGTAGTTCGTAAAGAAATTGTAGAATAACCAGAAATTACAAAAACACAAATTAAGGACATTTGTTTAAATAAATCTTTTTCTTTTGAGGCTAAATCTAATAAATAAGAATATTCTAATTCTTCTGTTTGGCGTTGAAGCATTGAAAGTGGCTCGTTAAATTCTACCTTTAAACAAAAAAATATTTTCTTTTAGTCGACTTTTGTCAATTATCCTCAAGAATATGGTAACTCTCCGTTATGCCACCTCCCCCTAAATTAATAATAAAAATGTCATATATAGGTAATAAAACGTGCTGACAAAGGAGAGGCTTTTGGGTGTCCGTGGGACTTCGGGATGAAATTTGGTAGAAAGGTAGATCATGGTCGAAATGATACAGGCCCCTGAAAATTAAAGAACCATAGGGGCGAATTTTTCGGGAATAACCTTCATAGAGGTCCGGTCTGGCCAAAAATTGTTTTTTGTATTAACTTTCCCTTAAATTCCTTTACTTATTATTTTTTGAAGAAATTTTAAATTAAAAATTTAAATTAAAAAAAACTTAAAAGTCCTTCAATAAAAGCTAAATAAATTTTGAAACTTTAGAGCGGATTAACACAAAAAAACAAGGTTTAAATTCCAAATATTTCCTTTATTTTTTATTTAAATAAATCCCTAACCGGTAATGCCATTTTAGACAATTCTTTCCCAACAAAACCTTTAATTAAAGTTAAATAATTTGGATTTGCATTTTCAGGTCTTAAAGGAATTGTTTTTCTACGTTGTTTTTGTTGTTCTTTATTATTATTTGACATTTTTAAATAAAATTTTTGGAAGGATTTAAAAGAGGAATTTTAAAAAAAGATTATATTTATTTAATGACTGTTTGCCTGTAACTTTAAAATAGAAGAGAGAGGGAAATTTCAATCGAAATTTTAAAAACGGAAATATTATTGAATTGTTTGTGCGGTTGGCGCAAGTTCTCTCTTTAGCAAATAATGGGAAAAAACTTGAAGGGAAAGGTAGAGAAAATAAATAACATAAAATATAACACATTTTTTTGGCCAACAACAAAAATAGTTGTATTACAGAGGAGATTTTTAAAAATGAAAAAAAAAATATTTTTGTTTTTTTATTAAAGAAAGCTTAGCACTTCCGGTCTGTTTATGGCAAAAATTGAAAAAAAGAGAAGATGCGCTTAATGTATGTATAAAATCCTTTATTAGTTAAAAAAGGCTAAAATTTCAACACTAATTGAGGCAAATTCTCATGAATACTAGGGTGTGTTTCACAGAATGGACAATTCACTGAATTGTCTGACAAATAGCAACTGTGTGTGAATTTTAATTTTTTATCAATTTTTTTCTTTATCTATCATTTTTTATTTTATACCTCAAATACAGACATATTTACAATAATCTCCAATATAATTTATTCTGTCCATGACTCCATTTATTTAAAAAATCTCCCCAATGTCATCCATCTAAAAGCACCTTTAAAAAGAGGAAAGGGATGACTAGTATATACTTTTTTGGTTAGTCTTTTACTTTTTAAATCAATGAAAGTAAAGCTTCTTTTCTCCTGCATGAAATGCCACTAAACGTCAGCCCCCCATTTTTTTCTTCACAAAAAGTAGTAATTTTTGGAAAGAGAAAAGAAAAAAAGGGGAATTAAGTATAGCCTAAAGGTGCAAAAAAAGAACCTGATCATTTCTTCACATCATTTTGCTGCAAAGTGATTGCAAAAGATGTGAGTAAATTCGAAATGATCTCTAAAGCTTAATCAAATATTTTTTGATTTTTAGTAGCTAAATAATGAATTTTATATTAAGTATTAGAGAATTCACGGAAACACGAATTTTGGGACTTTTAAAGATAGATAGATAATTTTCGTGTACAACCCAGGTAGGCGTGTGGCCATAACGGTGCAAAGCCATAACTTGCTTCAAGATTTCCGAATCTTACCAAATCTAGTATTAAACGATTCCTCTCATCGAGCTAAAGAGATTGGTAGCAAAATTGATAAGGGCCAGAAATTTCCTAGCAAGTTATGGCTTTGCGCCGTTACAGCCACGTGCCTACTCGGGCGTGTCCCATAATCTTCACCCCGTAATCAGTCACAGTAACTTAATCTTTCACAGATCACGTTATTCCAGGGAAAATCATAAAATAAAAATTTTTCAAAAAAATTTTTCAGAAAATTTCAGAATGACAATTCACAAATTATTTTTCAAAATGTAAAATTCTCAAAATGTCAATAATTAATTTTTTTAATTTACATTTTTAATTTTAATCCAGAAATCAATTCTGTAAAATTACTTTTAAAGGAAATATTCTTTTTATTGATCTCTCTATTTTCTTTTTATTCCACCTATTAATTAACGTCATTCTCTCCCGTCTGATTAACAAAAATAATTTTTTTTTCTAAACAAACCTGTTTTTATATTAAACTACGAAAAATATATTTATTTATTTTTAATTTAATTTAGATTATTTAAAGTAATTTTTGGAAGAAATTTAAATGAAAAAATAAAAAAATTTTGGAAAGAAATTTTTGTGGAGAAATGAATTCTTCAACTTTCTACAATGCTTTAATTAAGAGGCCAAATGAAAGGAATGAAGAGGTTTATATTTTTTAATATTTCGGGGATTCTAATATGAAATTTTTATTTAATTATTAAAATTTTTGTTTATTTATTTAAGTCATATAAGGCATTAAATATAGGGTTGGGCGCCCGGTTCGGGGCGAAATATCGACCTGGTCTCTAATTTTGGCCCGAATAAGACTCGAACGTCGGTCCGGTTCGAAAAATCCAACTCACAATCAACTTAAATTGCAATATTTTTAATTTAAAAGGATGGTTGGGGTGTATTTTTTGAATCGGACCTTTTTTAGTCATTTTTCTGGATATTATCTTTCTGATTTCAATTTTTTAAATTTAATTTTTATATGAGTATTCAATCGATTTTTGACTAAAAAGGATTTGTTTATAACTAGAATAACTAAAAAATCCCCTTAAGACAAAATTTTTTTTGAATATTTTAGAGAATTTAAGACATCTCTTTTCCTTATCAAAATTAATTTTATTTTTATTTTTTAAGGAAATTAATACAATATTTAATCATCTTCGACGATTAGAAGTTTTTGAAAGATTACACGATGCCCCATTAAAATCAGTATGTAAAACAGCTAGACTTGAAAGACATTCGGCCAATTATGTTTTGTTTAGGTTTTTTTGGATTTAATTTTAAAAATTAATTTATTTTTAAAGAAAAGGACAGTTAGCTACTTGTTGGTATATTTTGCTTTCTGGATCTGTTTTTATGAATAAACAAGTTTATTTGCCTATTGGATGGTTAGTTTTTTTATTTTAAAATTTAAAAAGTTTTTAAAAATATTGATTGATTTTGTAGAAATTTCGTGTAAATTCCTATCCGTTCCTATATTATTTAAAAAATTCTTTTTTCGGCTATACTGAAAGATAAGGGTACCCCTTATTTTTTTTTAGAATTTTTAAGACAAAAATCCTTGAGTGGGAATGTAAATGATGTAGCAGAAAGTGTTACTTAAACTTTTTTTAACCGATGCAACGTTTTTAGTCTGGGTTAAGCCTGAAAAAGCTAAAAATTGGTAATAGGCTTGGCAGTAATCTCAAAGATTTTTATTTGATGGCCTCCTTATCTTATCAGTAAAATCTTTCTTTAAATATTTTTTTTGAAAATCTTATTTAAATATTTATTTTCTCCTTTATTTTCCAAACTTGTCACGCTTCATTTTACCTTTAACAAACAACCAAAGTTATGCTTTACTTTTTGATAGGGTAACCGGTTCCACTTTTAATTGTTTGGCCTTTAAAATATTTAAAGAGAAATTGTGGTTAAAGAAATAAATTCTTTTTAAATTATTTTTTAAATTTATTTTTAAATTTTAATAATTTTCTTTTTTGTTTTCTACGAGAACATTCAATTACTTGTTCCAAAATTAAATACCACAATTTCTTTTTAAATATTTCCTTTTTATTCTCAAATTTTGAATAATTTTTAGATTAAATTAATTTTTTAATTTAATTTTTTACTTTGGCACTTTTTAAGTAATAATTATTTTATTTTATATTAGTAGGATTATTTTTAATTAAATGTCTTTTCTTATATTTAAATTTTTATTTATTTTCAGCTTTTTACTCTTTTACTAATTTATTTATTCTCCTTTTTCTTATCGGAAGCCCAAATCTTGGTTAATTTTGAATAAAAATTAAGAAGGGATTCTCTTCTAAATTTAATTTGAATTTGCATTTATAATTTATTTAAACGAAAAAAACTTTAAAAATGATGAAATTGATTTTATTTAGAGAAATAAAATTTTTATAAAAATTGATAATCAATTTAAAAAGAGAATATATATTTTAAATCAATTTAATCTTTTTTTTCCTTTACAACTTGTCAACCCTTTTAAAAACATGAAAAAAATTATGAAAGAAAATACTTTTTAAATAGACACTTTTTTTCAATCAGAATTTAAGCAAAGTCACAACCACTCTTAATTATTTTTTAAATTTTTATTGTTTAGATTTTCTCTATGTTTTTTTTTCGTTTTCTTCATTGCCTCAGTTTAGGTTTTTTATTAAGTCAAGGCTTTCTTCTTTTTTTCTGTTGATTCCCCCCTATATTATCAATTAACTTAATTCATTTTTCCCTTTATTTTTTTTTCTAAAAGTAAATCAAAAATAAATAAATTTCTAGGGCATATGTATATACTTCAACACAATGCACAATATATTTCTTGTATATTGCCCCCATTTCTTCAAACATCTTTCCTTTCTTTATTTCCGCTGACCCCTAAATTATGTCTTTTTTTTACTTTAAATTCACCCACATTTCTTTATAACACAAAGAATTTTATTTTTAAATTTAATTAATGTCCTCATTTTTTAGAGAAATTAACTTTTATTTTAACTAGATTATTTTTTAATTTAATTAAATAATTGTAGTTGACATTAATTTTTGGGTAAAAATATACAGTGTGTCCGAAAATGATATAACCACCCAACTTTTTAGGTGTAAATCGGTTTCTCTTTGATCTGTTTTCCTGAAATTTTGACACAATATTTCGAATATCATTTATAGTGCATATGCAAAATTTGAGCCTAGGTGGTTATATCATTTCCGGACGGTTGAAAAACGACCACTTTTAAATAAATTTAATTTACTTAGGGATGAATGGGGATATTTAGATAAAATTTTGCATAGATATCCAGAATACGTATATAATCAATATAAAAAAGAAAGAAAGTGAAAATATTAGGTTCAAGAAAAGATATAACAAAAAATGCAAGTGGTTATATCATTTCCGGACACACTGTATTTAATCCTCTTTAAAAATACCTCCAATTATTTATTAAAAAAATTAGACTTTTTCTGTTAGGAAGATACAAGTTAGAATTGTTAAGTTAACCTCTTTTTCTTATTTTTATCCCTCTTCTTTACACCCTTATTTTTTTAATTTTAATTTTAAACTTGAAAATTCAAGATTTTTGTCTTTCCTTTATGATTTTGATTCCTATGTAACTGTCAGATTTCTCCTTATTGTCTATTCATTAATAATTCCAATCTCGAGAATTTATTTATTTTTTTCTTTTAATTTTTATGTCCATTAATAAAAAAATATTTTATATATTTTTCTGTTTCCTCTAAACATTTAATTTTTTCTGCTCAATTTTCATCACACATTCCTTCTCTGATAATTTATTTATTTCCTCTACTCATTTTTATATAAACTTTTAATCATTTGCAAAAATATTATTTTTTCATTCATTAAAATAATTTTTTTAGAAAATCTATTTTTCTATATCGATTAATCTTTTTTTTATTACTCAATTACTTCAATTGCATTTGCGCCTTTTTCTCTAAATTTCCCGACAATTCATCCCCCCCCCCCCATTCCTTCCGTTTTGTCTTTTAACTGTGGCTTTTTTTAATTTCTTCATTCTTTCATAAACTCTTGACGGACACTAATCGAGAGTAGAAAAAATAAAGAAAAAAGGATTTTCACCTTTACAATAAATATTTTTTATTGTATTTGTGAAGAGTAAAGCTGTGAGGAGCAAAAAAAGCTTTAGATAGAATCTTCGCTCTACAGCTGCCGCCATTTTTTATTTATTTTTATTGGGCGATTAAAAACTTTTTTTGTTAGTTGACTGGTCAGTTTGCGCTTCTCTTGGCTGTCCATAAATTCGTTGAAAAGGCTTTAAATAAAAAATTTTTGCAAAGAAATTTTCTTCATTTATTCATTAAAATTTAAAATTCCAATCTTTATGTTTTTAAAACAATCAAATTTTTTTTGTCAATTTTCTCAATTTTTTGTAAAAATTCAAATTATCCAATTTAACGTTTAAAAATTTTTTTGATTTAATATAAATTAAACTAATTTATTTACGAATATTTAGGATATATAGATTATCCACTTTTCCTTCTGACCGGTGTACGGAATTTTGGTTACTGGAATTCTGGTCACCAAGGATTTTCGGAACTTTGGTCACCAACTTTTTTGGAATTTTGGTCACCAGCGGAATTTTGGTCACCAAGTCAAAAAACGGAATATTGGGCACTGAAATTTTGGTCACCAAGAGGAATTTTGGTCACCTGACGGGAAAAACAAATCTTATCTAGAACTGAAATCTAAGTGATAAAAAATGATTTTTCAATCTCCAGTTGATCAATTTCAATGTTTATCACCCTTCCGGCTGATAACTCTCTCGGTTGATCACTCTCAATCACTCTCCCGGAAGATTGATTACCGTGAAAGTGATTAACATTGAAAATAATCATCAGGTAGTTGAAAAACAATTTTTTATCACTTAGATATCAGTTCTAGATAAGATTTGTTTTTCCAGTTTGGTGACCAAAATTCCTCTTGGTGACCAAAATTTCAGTGCCCAATATTCCGTTTTTTGACTTGGTGACCAAAATTCCGCTAGTGACCAAAATTGCAAAAAAGTTGGTGACCAAAGTTCCGAAAATCCTTGGTGACCAGAATTCCAGTGACCAAAATTCCGGCACCCTTCTGACCACCCAAAATTTCTTTCATTTTTATTTATAATCACCCACCATTATTTTATTCCTAAAACAAAATAAAATAAAAGTAACTCTAAATACTTTAATTGAAGATGAGCGCAATCCCCTCTTCTCCCCTCCCCCTTCCTTCTTAACTGCTACATATCTGCTTCTTTTTGCTATTAAACCCCCCAAAAATATTCAAAGTTAACCCTTACCACTTTTTTTTAATTCTTTCTATATTGACCAAAAGCCAGAAAATCCCTCCTTCCTTTACTAAACAGCTGTGTCAAAAAAGCTGGTCAAAGAAACTGCTTTTTATCCAAAATAATGGCTTATGGTGGAAAATAAAATAGCCTTTGGCGAATTTTGATTTTTGGTGTATGTAGTTTTTTAGTTTTTGATAGAAAATTGGGAGAGAGCGAGAAAGAATTAATTTGGGAGGGGAGGTGATTGAGAGAGGACATACACACACTAAATTTACTAATTCTGATTCATCTGGAAATATTTGATTACTACTTAATTATTATGAACTTTTCTATTTTAATTTTAATTAAAAAAATATTTTTCTAAAAATAATTTTCAATTTATTTTATTGCCTTTCCTAAACATAATATTTATTTATTTTTTCTCATTTAAATTTAAAAAATTACTATTTTCATTTACTTTTTAAAATATTAAAATTAAAATTTTTATATTTTTGTAGCTTTGGAAAACGTAGCAATATGAATTTACGTCGAATGAGTGATTGTATTGTGATATCGCCATCGGATATGATTGTGGTGAGTATTTATTTGTTAAAAAATTTTTTTTTAAATATTACAAACAAATTAACTATTAAATTTTTGGAAATTAAAATTTGAAATTTAATGGTTTCCTCCATAATTGATTGTTTAGATTGATTATAGCTATATTATATTTTTACTATAATCTTTTATTTTTTGCTATTTTTTCTTTCCGCTGATTTTTGCTATTTACTTTTTAACTATAATAAATTAATATATATTTTTCTGAACTTTGAACAAAATTTTTTTCTATCTTTTCTGCAAAATTATTTTTTTTATTTCTTACTGCTCAAATTAATAAATTTATTTTCTCACCTAATTTTCTTGCGGATTATTTTCAATTATTAATTCTTTTATTAATATTCATCAATTTATTAAGTAAAAGAAAGGAGGATTTATATACTTAAAAACTAGTTAAGTATATCTAATTTATTTGTAAAGAAATAATTTTTTACAAATTCTCTTTTTAAGTAATTGGTGTGAAATTCTGGGAGAGAGGGAAACAAGAATTTTAAACAAATAAAAATAAATTTATAAAATTAGCTAGAATTTATTTTTTAAATTTTGGGAAAATTTTTACTCAATTTATGGCAATTTTAGAGAATTTTAACGTCACTTTCAAATTTTTTTCGTTTCCTCTTATTTTCCAAACCATCTCTTTCAATCAAAAACTCTTCATATTATCTTCTCTAAATTTCTTAAATTTTTTAAATTTTTTCTTTAAAAATATTTTTTTCATTTCAAATTTACCAGATTGATTATCCGGATGTCCAACGCATTACTGTCCATTTACACAACAATTCAGACAACATTTTAAATCAAACTGGCAATCAGCCAAACGTCTCAGCTACCGCCTTTCCTGCTTTTGACGGCCCTTCTTCATCTTCACTTTCATCCTCACCTTTAGGAGGGGCGGGAACTTCAACACCTTCACTTTTAGTTAGAAGACAAAGTGGTGATTGTGGTTGGAAAGGCAACATTCAACAAGTATAGAAATTTAAAAAGAAGGATATACTTTAGCCGGTGGCCGGTTCGAAACCGATTCGAAATATATACCATTCGATTCGTCTCGGCGAGCTTAGTCGAATGGTATTACTCCCAGGGTGCGGAAACGCCTGTGGACCGAGATATAGGTCCCTGAAATTTGAAAAAGCATAGGGGGGACCAAGCACTTTTTTGGGGTGAAAAATTCGAAAATGCAAATTATAACTCATTCGAAAGAGCTCGTCGAGCTGAGTCGAATGACATCAAAATCAACAAAATCCGACTTGCTTGGACCGAGATACAGACCCCTAAAAACCGAAGATCCAAAGGGGCGATTTTTGGAATAAAAAATTTTTATACAAATAATACCTCATTCGAAAGAGCTCGACGAGTTGAGTCAAATGACACCAAAATCACCGTGATTGAACAAGATTAGACAAAGTTATGATACAAAAAAACAAAAAAACCTAAACCTATGGGGCGTCGGCGAGGCGCTTGTGCAAAACCCCGCGCTTCGCGCGGGGTTTTGCGGCACGCGCCTCGCGGGGAGTCTACGGGCGATGGGTCTGGGCTCGTAACATAAACCTATTCCTATCTCCCTTGCTCTGGACGTATTTGGGCATCCGAAGTAGCAAAAATCTCCACAGATGCCATAGGTAAGGAGCTAAAATAAAAGATCATAACTTTGTCCAATCAAGTCGGATTTCATTGATTTTGGTGTCATTCGACTCGGCTCGATGAGCTCTTTCGAATGAGGTATAATTTGCATTTTCGAATTTTTCACCCCAAAAATGTGCTTACTCCCCCCTTTGGTTTTTCGATTTTCGGGGACCTATATCTCGGTCCACAGGCGTTTCCGCACCCTGGGAGTGGTACCATTCGACTCAGCTCGCCGAGACGAATCGAATGGTATATATTTTGAATCAGTTTCGAACCGGCCACCGGCTAAAGTACAGCCAAAAAGAATTTTCTTTATTAGCGTTTTTTAATGTTTAGGTAAGCTATTTGGATTAGGGAATACCTTTTTGAGTTGTAACTGAAAATTTTTAATTAAGTCAAAAGTTGGAAATTTGAAATTTTCCACTAGATATTCTAATAATATCTAAAATTAAAGCAATAACTTTTTTTTTAATTTTATGGCTAGTAAGTAAAAATTTTTGCTATCTAAAACCAGTTTTATATAAATTCCTTCAACACATTATTTATTGGACTCACCCAATAAAATCATCTCTATTTCCCCTTTTATTTTCAGCAATCATCAAAAGGTATTCAAATAATGACAATGGCACCTCCACAACGGTCAGCAGCAGCAACACCTCTTCCCCCTCATTATAATCAACAACAATATTCTTCTAAATATCCTCTTCATCATCGAATACCTCCACATATTTCTACTTCAAGCAATCAACAACAACAACTTTGCCATCAACACAATAACAATTATCTTTGCCAACAACAATCTACTATTCAACACATCCCAGTAACTAATTCTCCCATTTGCCATAGAGTGCCTTCACCAGCGCCGACATTTTCTTCGCCAGTTAAAGATGTATGTTTTGTTAATAAATAAATGAAAAGTGTAGATAGGTACAGTAAGGTGCAAAAGTTTATGCCGCTACACCTTGCACGCAGAAAAGTCGATATATCTCAGAAAGAAAAGGGACTTAAATTAAATCGATTATATTTTAATCAAGTATAGTTTATCAGTTTATAATATCCATAAAAATTTTTTTTGAATACTCATATTATTTAAAAGTTTTACACGTTTAACTTATTTACCTCTTATTTTGAGGGAGCAAAAGTTTATGCCGTTTGTAGGAAAAAAATTTTTTGGTTCCAAAACAAGACGAAAAAAATTACAAAAATTTTTATAAATATTTCTGTTGATAATGAATAGAAAAAGAGAAAAAACTAAGTCTGTACTCGCTTAATTCATTGAAATCAAAAATCTAGAAAATCAACGGGAAACGAGGTTATGGTACTTAAAAAAATATTTTAGCTCCCTAGGGCCTGTATCAAAAATTCTTTTTGGGCTCATTAGAAAGCCCATAAAATTTGCTACAAACTACACTTGGTCTCATATGTGTGAAAAATTTCAGCTTCGAGATAGTGTGGCATGAATTCACAAGGTCGCCAAAATCACTCGAAATACCCTATAAAATGCTCATTTTTATTTCTTCAGTTATTAATTCAACCCTACCTCTGAGTAGAAATTTTTCAAACATAGGAGACCAACCTTATTTTGTAGTAAATTTTATGGGCTTTCAAATGAGCCTAAAACGAAAATTTAAAAAAATTCATAAGGGTTCGAAAATATTTTTTCAATTACTGTACCCCGATTTTACGTTGATTTTTGAGATTTTGGATTATGATGAAAAGATTATTTATCGAATTCATTCTTTTTTCTTTTCCATTCAGTATCAATGAAAATGCTTATAAAAATTTTTTAAACTTTTTTTCGACTTGTTTTAGAACCAAAAAAATTTTTTTGGTGTAAGCGGCATAAACTTTTGCTCCCCAAAAATGGGAGGTAGTTAGGGTTTTCCGACTATAATTTTTGGTTAAAATTGGTATGGGAAATTTTTTATAAATTTTATAAATAGAAGGCCTAATCTTAAAAAATATATAATCGATTTTATTTTTGTCCCTTCTTTTCTCGGGTTATATTGACTTTTTCCTATGCGAAGTACAGCGGCATAAACTTTTGCACCTTACTGTATTTAGAGAATATTTTATTCATTAAGAGCGATTGGTCTCAAGTCGAAGAAATCTTTTTTTTTCCTCAAATCTTTTATCTCTTCTTGGACTGATTTTCTAATTTCCTAATTTTATTGGGAAAATTGGAAGCCTTTCCTTATACATCCTCTGTTTGGCAAATTAACCCCCCTTTCAATTTATTTTGCAATTAATTTTTGATTACCTGCGGATAATTTAATAAAATATTTTTAATTACTCTATTAGAGGTAGTCCTTATTATTAAATACGTTAAAACTTACATTTGTTCTCACCCAAAAAATATATAAAAATATTAAGAGCTTTGTTTGTTTGTTTTATTCTTCAAAATGAAGTCTTACATTTATTAGTTTGTTTTAGGAACAGAAAAAAGGGGGAAACTTTTTTAAATAATTTTTATTTTTGAGATTTTAAAGTGCTGTTTTTACGTATATATTTTTATTTAAATTAACTAAATTTGAAATTAAAAAATATTTTTTTTATTTTTAATTGAATTTGTTCTTTAATTTAGACACATTTTTGGCTTTTTCTTATCAATTAAAAAAGGAATTTACTAATTAATTCCTTTAGTTTATTTAAAGTGTCAATATTTTTTTTTGGAAAAATTCTTCTAAATTTGTACTGAACCCTTTAATTTTTATTTTTTGTTTTTCAATTTCACTTAAAAATCCTTTAAAAATTAAGCAGATCGTTTAAAACATTCCTCCTCTTTTTTGACATTAATCTTTTTTGCTTCAACAGGTTTTTCATTTTTCTCGTCATCAAAATAGCAACAACAACAACAATTCTCTTCAACAACAAAATCGTGGAGGAGGAGTATTTTTTCATCCCCAAATTATCTTGCAACAACATCACGCCAAATCCAATTCAATGTCTTCAGGGAATTCTTCCAAAAATCAACAAAAAAATAAAGAATTTTTAAATGAAGTAGAAGTACCTTTTATTAGAGTAAAACAACAACAACAACCTAAAACATTGCCTAGAACAAAAATTGATGAAATAAATGGGGAATTGTTAGTAGAGGAAAAAATTAGCAATAATAATAATCAGTTTTCTCCTCCAAGACAAAAAAGGTACATATTTTTAGAGAATGAGGACAGTTTTTGGGTGTTCTAAGAGTTTTTTAATGTTTGTATATTTTTATACAAACATAGGCGAATTTTTAATTATTGAAAAATTGTCCTATTTACTCTTGGAAATTTTGATTTTTGGATTAGAATATTTCCACATTTGCTAAAAACTAAAAAAAGTAAGAAAAAGGATAACACCACAATAGTAAGTCGAAGGTCCTCTATCGAATGGTACCAAAAAAAGTACCAAATTAGCATTTACAGTAAAAGGTGGTTCTTTCTGATTGTGAAGAGAAAAGCGAGGTATATCATGGAAAAAAATTTCCACACCCAAGAGACTTTCCACACCACGAAAATCTTTCTTCTACTAGGTCTGGAGACTTTATAAAATTAATTTAAATTAGGGTTTAATATTCAGTGTCTCCCACTTGTATTTATTAATCAAGCTAGAAGCTGAAACTTTTAAAAATTTATGAATCTGCCTTTAATTATTTTTTAAGGGCATCTATAACATCCTTGCGTGATTCTCCAACAATTAATCCGTCAAATTTTAATAATTCTTTAATACAACAAAAAATGGCAATATTTGAGCCTTCAAATAATTCCTCTTCTACGCAAACTTTAAAAATTAATGAAGAAATAATTAAAGAAAATTTTGACAATTTAAATAATGATACAATGACTAAAACAAAGAAAAACACAAAAATAGAAGAAAATTTGAATGGAAAAAATTCTTTTTTAGAAAAACCTTTAAAAGAAAAATTGGAACAAAAAGAATTTAATAATGAAAAAGAAGTTGCTACTTTAACTGAAAAAAATATTAAAGTTCCAAAGTCGCCAATTACTTCAACTAATTTTCAAAGACTGAGCAAAATTCGTTTAAATATGGGAAGTGGAAGAAGAAATACGGTTAAATTTTTTTAAATTTTTATTGAGAAAATGGATTGAGGTTATTATTAGGGTTCAATATTTACGGTCAGGTGGCTGTTTTCACCGAGACGGTGGTTGCGTTGGTTCTTGCCACGGGGACGGTGACGGTGGCTCTGGGGGAGAGCCTCCCACCGTCCCCCGGGACGGTGGTTGAACCCTAGTTGTTATGTTGTTTTTGAGTTTTTTGAGGAAAATAATTTTAGAAAGATTATTATAATAAATGGAGGGACAAAAAACCGTGTTGTCTTTTACTTTTTTTACTATTGTGGCACCATTCCCTTTACTTTCTTTACGAAATAATTTTTTAAAATTTATTTTTTAGCAAATTGTAAATGATGATGATATTTCTGCCCTTGAAACTTTGGCTGCAAATGTTCGTATTAGACAACAATCACCTCAACAAAATAGAACACAAGGAGCTGCTGCTGTAAATAAAATACGTCAAAGCATTGGTTATTTGTGATGTTTTTTTCTAATTTTATTTAATTTTTAGCCTCAAGTGTTTCTGCCCTAACTGTGGATGATTCTGAAGATTGTTTTGCTGGATTGCCTGAAACATCTGTAGATAATGAAATGCTTGATGATTGTGAAGATGATGAGGAGGATGAAGAAGAAGGAAGTTGCCCCTCTCACGATTCCTTTCATGTTTGTTTGAAAATAATTTTTTTAGAAAAGGTTTTGGGGTTTTGTAAATTAGGGAGTGATTTTTGAATTGTTGTGAATTTGGAGATTAGTTTTGTTGTGGGTTAGGTAAAGAATTTTTTTAGCTAGGGGTAACTAACTGCTAGAAATTATATCAATTAGGGTTGTGCACGACCGGTTTTAAAATCGAAAACTTCTGAAAATGAGTGATTTTATTAGAAATCCCCCAAAATAAAACCGGTATTTTCTAACAATAAGACTCAAAACCGAAAACCGGATTTTCTAAATTGGATTATCGAAAGCCGGCGATACCGGTTAATAACCGGTCGTACACAACCCTAGTATTAATTTAAAATTTTGGTTTTTTATCCTTCTTTTATTTTTGTCCGTTACTATAAAATTATTTGAATTTTGAACAAGTCTGATTGTAAAAACAATTTTTATTCCAATTGCATTTTTGTTAATTTCCTTCCATTTTTAAAGGAATTACGTGATAGTGTACGTGAATGTCTTGAGAAAGAACCCTCTAATAGAACTGGAGAGGACCTTGCAATATTAATTGAATTTATGTCTTCATTACCTTCATTAACCCAATTACCAATGAGTATTAAAAGACAATTGTGTTTAAAAATGGTTTTTGCTGTTGTACCGACAAAAGGAACTTCAATAATGCAACATGGAGAAAAAATAGATGCTTGGTTAGTTTTGAATATTTTTTGTAAATTTATTCTTTTTTTGGTAAATTTTGTGTGAAAGTGCAATATTAAATTTGAATAAGAATATAGAATAAATAATAACTTTAAAAGAGGGTGTTTTCCTTTTTTATGTTAATTTTGTTTTATACTTTCCACTATTTTTTGACATTGAATAACCAATATTTTTTTGTCAACATTTTTTGACAAATTAAATTCCAAAAAATTTAGATAATCTAGGTATTTTAATGTAATTTTTAATTAGAATATTTATAATTTATCCCAATTAGTGTTGTAGCTTCCAATAAGGCCAATCGAGGGTCTCCAATTTTTAATTTAATTAAAATGGGGTTTAAAATTAAATTTAAAAAATTAAAATGGTTTTTGTTCCTTTCTTTAATTTTCGCAGTAATATAATTTTTATTTAAAACAATAATAAATATTATTTTTTATCATCTTTTCCCCCTCCAAATTTGTAATAAATGTCCAAATCTCTCTTCTATTTCCCAAAAATATATAATTTATTTATTTTTTAGGTCTGTTGTTGTAAATGGAAGTGTGGAGCACGTTCATTCAAATGGCCAGCATGTAGAATACCGGCTTGGTGATTGTTTTGGAGTACAGCCAATCGCGCAAACGCAATACAACGATGGGGAAATTCGTACTCTTGCTGATGATTGCGAATTTATTCTTGTAAGGAAAAAAACTAGATAATTTTTTTGAACAATTTTTTGGCCTAAAAAATTGATTCCTTTAAATTAAATTTTTGAAAATCTTTCAAAAAGTTTTTTGTTCCGAAGGAATTTTTTAAATTTTTACTGAATCATTTTCTTTTTTCTTATAAAATCAAGATTTTTTTAGGTTGAACATGGTGATTTTTATTCAATTATTTTTCTTATAAAATCAAGATTTTTTTAGGTTGAACATGGTGATTTTTATTCAATTATGTCTTCATTGAGCAGACAAATAGAGCGCGAGAATGATGAAAAAAGTGGAGAAGTGGTCAGGGAAGTTGAAAGAAGGTTAATATAATTTTTTTATAATTATTTAAATTTTAACTAGTTATGACTTTTTAGCTACTTAAAATAAGCTTTTCCGGCATTTAAGTGAAAATTAAATATTTTTTCTTTTATTTAGAATGGTAGATAATCAAGTAGAATTAGTTGTAACTAAAGCTAGCCCAGAAAGACTACTCCGTCAATTATTGTTGGATGAAGAAGATGATTTGTTATTAGCTGCAACATCCCCAATCACAGAAAATGTTGATAGTTTAGCAAATATTTCAACAAATTCTGCTCAAATGGATTCCCATTTTGTTGAAGATTTTTTGTTAATGCATAGAGTTTTCTTCCCAGATTCGTTTTTGGCTATACGTCAATTAATTGATTGGTTTAGATTGGAGCCTAAACACCGGGAAAGAGTTGTAAGGATTTTTTTTCGAAAATTATTTATATTTGGGAGGTTTTTGAAATCTCAATTATTTAATTGTTAATTAGCATTCAATTAGAATTTAATTTTTTTTTTATTTTTTGGTTTAATTCTCTCAATTTAAAGGCTAGAATAATGCTAATTTGGTTAAATAATCATTTTGAGGACTTTGAAGGAAATGATTCTGATGGAAAAATGACTGCTCTTTTGAATGAATTTGATCAAGTAAAAATAAGGATTTTTTAACTTTCTTTTTATTTTCTTTTGTAATTTTTTCGAAAAAAAAATTATTTAAGAAATAAAAGGGATTTCTAAGATAGCAATAAAATAAAAATTAATTTAAAAATAGTTATTGGCCGATGCTAAAATGTTCAATCATCAATGTTTAATGAGCATAACATGTTCTGTTAAATCCCAATCCAGACAAGTTTTTTAATTTAAAAATTCCAATATTTCCCCTCTATTTTTGTAGGTAACATTAACACGTTCAGATCGTTCAGAACCTCTTAATTTTAAATTGGTTGGAGGATCAACTTATGGAGGTATTTTTGTAATGTCTGTAGAGACTGGCTCTTCAGCAGAAAAAGTTGGGTTTCGAAGAGGAGATGAGGTAATTTTGAAAAATATATTATTTAATAAAAATTTTTTTCTAGTTATTGGAAGTAAATAGCAAAAATATGCGTAAATTCTCACTTTCTAATGCTGAAGATATTATCCGGGAAAGTACACATTTAAGTATAACACTCAAAACAAATTGGATTGGGTTTCGGGTATTTTTATTTTTTATTGATGCCTTTAACCTTAAAAAATATTTTTTAGGAAGCTTTGCTTCATTATCAAGAAGATCAACAAACAAATTCAACAACAACTATTTCAACAGCCAATTGCCCTCCAAAAAAGGCCAGCAACCCTTCATTACAAACCACAACAGCAATGCCTTCTCGTTATCAGAAAAAATGTTCAATTCCAACAATTGCTGGTGCTGGACATCATAATAAACAACATCCACAAAGAGAAAGGCGTTCAACGCTTAGTGCTGCTATTAATCAAGTTGAGGTACTTTTCTTACAAAATTTTTTTTAAATTCTATTTGAATTTTTAGTTAAATCCTCACCAACACTATCACAATTCTAAAGCAGGCTCTGCAACACCTACAAGTGGAGGAAATTCTACAATCTCTCACAAAAAAGTTTTAAATAAATTAATACAAATTATTCGAGGCTCTGTTGACGATAATAATGTTTGTCATCAACATAATAAATGTTTACAACAAAAGCAACAACAGAATGGACAACAAATAACTATTGACTCGACTGATGGAGAATCTAAAAATAATGGAAATTCTTTACGTGCAAGTCGTTCAAATCCTGATATTTCTGTCCACTCTTGTGGTCCTTGCACTTCGGTAAAAATATATTTTTTGATTAGAATTCTTTGTTTACTATTGTATTTAATATTAATTAATCCAATAAAAAATTCTGTTCTCAACCTAGTAATAGGGATCAATTCACTGTATTCTTTCTAGAAACGAGTAATTTCCGGTCCAAAATCCACAATGTCACTGAATTAAGGACCTAAAATTAATTTTGTTCGCGCGTTTATTGGTTAATCTAAATAAAGACAATCAAATAGTATGTAAAATCTCTAACTTTCATTTCAATTGAGACTTTCCAGACATTAAAATTTGCTCTTAATTAAAAGATTTATATCATCTGGAATTCTCAAGCTTAATTTCTTTAAAACAAAATTATCTAATCAACCCCCCCCTTTTTTAGTCAAATATTTCATGTGCTTCATCTTCATCCACTGCCTCAAATCGCCACAGTTCTCTCTGTGCTGCTTCCTCAAATGGCAGTGTTGGAACTTGTCTTACAAGAATAGATCAAGCATTAAAAATTTATAGAAGTGATCAAAGCTTTAGATATATACCTGTTTGTGCTGATTTAAATGCTAAACAAATTCTGCATTTAGCACTACAGGTTTTTTGAATTTTCAATGAAAATTAGGGATTCAAAAAAGAGATTGGCTATATAGTTCTATGAGAAGTTCCCTTTTAGATTTTTTCTGTATTAAAATCTGAAAAAAATATGTTCCGAAATTGGTGAATTTCCTTGGCTATTTTTTATGTATTGTTTGAAATAAATTTCAGATTTTTTAAATTTAATTTTCTTCTCTTTAATTAAAAAATTTGTTCATTTTCCTTTACCAATACATATTTTTCCCTTTACAATTTCTCTAATAAAATTTTTTTCAAAGGAATTTGGAATCTCTACTGATTCAATAGATGATAATTCTTGTTTATGGGCTATTTATGAATGTTCTGTAAGTCATGATGGTGTAGTAAAGCAAAGAAGATTACCACCTACAGCTACAAATTTAGCTGAAACTGTTGCATTAAATGCACGTTTATATCTTCGAGATATGCAAAAAGTCTGATTAAAATTTTGAAAATAATTTAAAAAATAATTTTAGGAAGAAAATAATTTATTGCCTGATGAATTAATACCAGAAGTTTTAAAACAAGCAAGATTAACCCTTTATACATTAAATGCCCAGTGTATAGCTACACAATTAACATTACAGGTTTTGAAAGGATTTTAAAAAAAATTTTTAAAAGTCTCTTAAGGATTTTGGTGTTTTCTCTTCTATAGAGCCAACAGAATATGTAAATCATTTATTCCAATTAGGAGTTAATGGGGAAAATAATTCTTCGAAACAGCGTGGAAAGGGTTGGGATAAATTGGCTGAATTCGAGGTAAAAAATAAATTTTTTTAGAAAATTATTAGTTTTTTTGTAAAGTGTTTCGTATTAAATTTGGACTCTAAAAATAATTTAAAACAAAATCCTAGTTAATATTTTACTGAAAAATAATCCCAAATTTTTAAGGAAAATAATTTAAGATTAAAAAATCTTTTTTAGTCTCTTTTCAATCGAGAAATGTGGTGGGTAGCAACAGAAGTTTGTTGTGAACGTAATGTTTATAGAAGATCTAAATTAGTTAAGAAATTTATTAAAGTTGCTAGACATTGTCATTGTATGTTTATAAATTATTTAAAATTTTAATTATTTCTTTTTAAAGTACTTCGTAATTTAAATTCAATGTTTGCTATTGTTAGTGGTTTAGAAAAGCCAGCAGTTCGGAGACTTTCACATACTTGGGAAAGAGTTCCTGGGTATTTTATTCAATATTTGATTCAATTTTTTATTTTTTCAGAAAATATTTAAAAATGTTGGCCGATCTTCAACAATTAATGGACCCATCTAGAAATATGTCTCGTTATCGACAACATTTAGCTCAATTGGCACAGGAGCCTCCTTTAATTCCAATTTATCCAATATTACGAAAAGACCTTACTTTTGCACATGAAGCTAATCCGACCTTTTGTGGACCTCGACTTGTTAATTTTGAGAAACTTAGAATGATAGCCCAAATAATTAGAAATATTCAACGATTTAGTAGTGTTCATTATGACCCTTCAGAATTATATATTGGAAATAATGGTGGAGGTGGTGGTGGTGGGGCAGCTGAAGTTGTGAGTTTTTACAAAATTGACAGATACTTTAATTTAATCTTTTTGAAAAATTGGCAGATATTTTAATTTAATCTTTCGGGTTCGACTTGAGATTAGTTATAGACCTTTGAGTATATTATATCGTAATTTAAAAAAATCTGAAAACCGAAAAATCTCTGCCCTCGTATTTTATAAAATTGACAGCTAATCGACAGCTAAATTGACAGCTAAAATTGACAGCTAAAATAAAGATCACTTTAATCTTTATTTTCTTTTAGATGTTCCATCATGATGCACTCGACCCCGTTAGTGCCACAATTCGTAAAGCAACTAAAGCTGGAATAGGAAATCGTTTTGGCACAAGTAGTAGCAGTAATGGAGCTGGCCTTTCACGGAAAAAACTTTACGAGAGGACGTTGATGTTAAGAAGGGTACGGGCATATTTACGCTCAATGCCGCTTATTGACTCAGAGGTGATTAAAATAATATTTAAATCCATCGGAAACGAGGATTATCTCTTATTCTTGGAACCACGGACATCCTAAACACTTTTATCTTAAATTCGGTTTAACTAAAATATCTAACAATAATTTAAAGGCTAATTTGGATAGAATTTCTTTGGAAATTGAACCTCCAGCTCTCACTTCCGGTCAAAGCAGTTCTGTCCAACAATTACACCATTCTTCCTGTTCTCCCCATTCCCAACACCAAACACAACCAAGTAGCTCGTCTGCAAGTACTGCACGGAGAAGACTTCCCTCTCCATCACCTAGCAGTCTTTCATCTCAATCAAATCAATCAAGTTCTATATTCCATCAACAAGAAAAACAAGGACAATCAATGGCTGGAGGGATAATTGGTGGAAGTGGTGGTAATGGATTGCCTAAATTTGGTAAAATCGTTGTAAATACATATTTATTTTATTTAAAAATTCTATAGGCGTTGAATCTCCACAGGCCGTCCAGAAAATGTTGGCTTTAGTTCAAAATTCAAAAATAAAAAGCCGACAACCCTTTTTTACTTCTTTTCACCAAAGCTCAGGACGTTCACATTTGCTTCAATCACACGGTGCTTTGTCTGCTTCTGCTGAATTGCCTCCAATTGGTAAAAATATTAAATGTATAGTTTAGATTCCTTTCTTATTTTAAGGTGTAGATAATCACCATCTACATATACAACAAAGAAAAAGATGTTCTGTTACAAGTAGCAGCACAACAACTGATGAAAATGTTAGCTGTAGTGGAAATAATGAAAGAGCTGTTTAAAGGAAAATCTTGCCAGGAAAAGCAGAAATTTATGTCTGAATTTCTTCTAATTTTACATACTTAAAAATATATTTATACTTACTAAAAAGCAATATAATTTTTTCTTTAAATTTACCTAAAAATGCCTTTCTTTTCCCCCAATTAATTATTTTGCTCATTTCCCAGCTCTTTTTTTAATTTTTGTAAATAATATTAAAATTTTAAATTTCTATATTTTGTATTAAAATCCGTCCCTCATTTATCTTTTCATGTAGTATATTGAAATAAATATCTGGATTTTAGAAGATTGTTTTTTAGACGAATAAAATTAGAACTATTTTGTAAAACGTTGTCTTTCCTGGATTTTTTTGGTTTGCTTTTAAAGTCTGCACAAATTTTGCTTCTAAATAAGGAATTTTTGTTGAAAATAAAAGTCAAGAATTTCAGTTGTAAAGACTGCATTTCTAAATTGTAGTACTTATATCTTCCACTTCGATAAAATTGGAAGAGTTTTACATGTGGGACCAAACTTTCTCAAGGCAACTTTTTTTTGAATTCTGGCATCTTTAATGAAATAAATAAATTTAAAAGGATTAATTTCTATTCAAAAAATTCACAGAATTGAGGGGATTTTATTTAGGGCATTTTTTACTATATATAAAAGTAAGAAAATTGAGAATTAGAAATCATTTATACCCAAAAATATTGGATATTTTTTTATTCTAAATTGTAGTGTAGGGGACATTTATTGAATGGTCTCTTGTTGAATTAGCTATTTAGAAGATCGTTTTTTTCAAATGGAAATTTGCAATTTATTTTTTGATCATTTATTACATTTTGTTTTGTTAATTTTTATATTTTTGTTATAATTTTATCATTTTTTTCCAATTTTTAAATGGTTTGAAATTAATCAAAAAATATAAATTAATTTTTATTTTTTTTTTAATTAATTTTTAAAAAAGGACAATTTTTGACTTGTCTTAAAAACACCAATTTTTCGACCTAAAAATGGATGCAGCAAAACATTCTTTGTCTAACGACATAAAACCCCAAACTTCTTTAATTTTAAACTCAAATGAATTGAACGAATTAACAGATCAATTAAAAATTTTAAGTATTGATGATTTGTCCATAAATAAAATTATGGAAAATTTAAAAACAATTAAAACGGAGGTGATTTATGACAAATTTTCTGTAAATCCCCAAAAATTTTTTTTGTTTAGCCACATGTAATTGATGAACTTCAAAATTTTATTCAAAAAAATGGATTGTTTGGTTTCGTTAAATCAAATGACCAATAGTTGTACTTTTGACTCCAAAAATTTAAATATGTGGGTAAAAAAATCTAAAATTTAAGTCAATATCTAAAATTACCAAAAATAACCCGATCAAAAGCATTATTTTTAAATAAATTTTTAAGCAAAAATCTCCCTTTCTTTCCATGATTATTTCTAATATTTTAATATTTTTTTGTCAATTATTTTTTTTAGAAATTCCACTTTGCTGGATTTGAACTTAATTTTGCATCTAATTTGTTTGTAAGTTCAATCAAAAATTTTTTTCCGAAATTTTATCAATTCCAAATATTTTTAAGATTTTTTGTTTTTTTAGTATCTAACAAATACTAAGTGTTTTTTTAATTTATTAACTTTTTAAAATTTTATATAAAAAATTTTCATAAAAATTGTTAAGTAAATTAATTTTAGAATATGGGTTTTTCTATTGATAAAATTACAAAACAAATTGATCAAACCAACAAGCTCATCAAAATTTGCAAAAAAATGCAATTGGGAGCTACAGGACAACTTTTAAATGATTTACTTGTGGAAGCCGACCGCTTGAATAATCAAAAAATTCAATTATTTTATATACATCAACGACTTATTACTAATAATGGGATTAAAATTAATCAACTCGAACAAGAAGTACAGGTATTTTTTTGTTCTCGAAATAAAATATGTTTATAATTTGTAGCAAAATATGTAATGTTTAAACAAAGTGGAATGAACCAGATGTTAACTGGAATGAATTTAAATTTTATATTAACTTAAAAATTAAACAATTTAATTTTTTAAAGGACAATTGCTTAACGTTTTAATTTTATTAAAATAAATTTCTAATTTTCATTTTTTTATGATTTTACGTTGTCGTCGACGCAATCTTCGTCGCATAATTAGGAAAAAGCTTTAGTCCACTTTTGCTTCTATTGAATTTCCTTCCCATACTTGTCATCTCATTCATGGTGTGTAGTGTTCTTTAGTTAGAAGTTTTCTCTGATTCGAAAACTCATAAAGTTCGATTGGACTCATAAACTGTAATAGCGCCCTCTTTGCCACGTTCTCTTTCCATTTTGATATACGGTGCTTCGCGTCAAACCGACCGATTCTTTGTTGAAATGTCTAATTATTGAAAAGTCAAAACATCTAAAAGTAAAATGCCAATACCTAAACGATACAGATCAATTTCTAGTAGAAAATTATTTTAGTGATTTCTTTTGTTTTTCTTACATAAATATTTTAATTTAGTTTTGTGTAGTACAAAAATGGAATCTTCTGTAAATGAACATGTTACTGGAACTTCAGAAATGTCAGAATCACTACAACAACAAATTCAAAGTTCAAAGATTTCTCCAGAAAGTAGTTAGTCCAACCCCCGAGTCGTCAGGGGCAGAGGGGTCCGCAACATTAATCCCTAATTAATTCCATGTAATTAGTCAACTAATTAAAGTCAACCTAAAGGTTTAGGGGCATCTCATACCATCACAAGGGGTCTTATCACAGATAACTGATATAAGAATATGTAATTAATCCCTAATTAGCTCCATGTAATTAACCAATTAATTAAGCCCACCCTAAAGGTTTAGGGACATCCTGTATCAACCCAATGGGTTTTATCAGTGATAACTGATATAAGAAAAAGTGTTCCATGTAATTACCCTTATTTCCATGTAATTAGTCCCTAATTAAAAGCATGTAATTAGTACACTAATTAGGACATCCGGTACCAATTCAGGGACCCGTAAGATCATAAGGTTTAGATCCCTTTCCCCCAAAAATTTTTAATATTTATTTCCTTTTTTCCTTTTCAGAAATTTTCTTTTGATTTCTTCTGTTGTATTTTTTCGCGCAGCGTGCGTGTAGTTTTCTTTTTAAAAATTTGTAGGCCAGATTAAAAACTTTTCCTTTCTTCGGAATTTTTTTAAATTTTCCTTTTGTATTTTTGTTCGCGCAGTGTGCGAACATCTTTATTTTTTAAAATTTTCTTTTGTAAATTTGTAGGTCAACTTAAAAACTTTTCCTTTTTCTTTTGTATTTTCTTAAAATTTTTTAAAAATATTAAGGTCATCTTAAAAATTTTTCCTTTTTCTTTCAATTTTTAAATCTTTTCTTTTGAATTTTTAAAAGTTATGGGTCATCTTAAAAAATTTCCCTTTTCTTAAAAAATTTCAACTTTCTTTTCAATTCCGGTCAGCCTAACCTAAATATTTCTTTTGTGACAAAAGAAATTAAAAATTTTAATGAATAAAATTTTTAAGATAGAAAAATAAATAAAGGGATTAAATAGTGAAAATAAAAGTTTGAATAGAAATAAAGGAAAAAGGTGAAGTAATAAAAATTGAGAATAAATAGAGATAAAAATAGGGAAAAATATTAAAATATTGTGCTGATTTCCTTCGTCTGCTCCAATCTATCACCAACGCCTACATTGCTGTCTACTTGTTTTATCTCTCGTTTGTCAACTCCGACACTAGATTACCCCCTCTTAAATAAAACTTTATAAAATTTCTAAATTTAGGTCAATTTTTCAAGGTTATTATTAAAAATTTTAACCTAGATTAAAAATTTTAATCCGTTGTTAGGAAATTTCTTAAAAAATCCAACTGTTAAATTTTGAAAATCCTTTTAATAGGAGGAGCTAGAACGGAAGTATAAAAATAGATTGATTTTAACTGGAAAAATCATTCTACTGTTCAACACCAGCTTCTTCGAGACAAAACAAAACTTCTTTTACTCTTTTTAAAAATGTTTCCTCCTCCACCCAAAAAATTTAAGAATTTTTCCATTTCTAATCTATTAGGTTCCCAAACTGATAACCCCCATGTAAAGAAGCTTGGTCATGAGACCAAGTTTAACCGAAAATTTAATTCGTCCAAAGTTTCCACTAGGTTCCTAATTTATGACCTCCCCAATGACCCTGAATCCCTTCTAGAAGGGATCTTCCAAAATACCATTGACGAGGCTCTGGAAGAGAGTCGACAATGGGGGGTTGAAGCTGACCAACTAGGGTGTATAATATCTAGTCAGAACCTAGACTCTGACGTCTGGATTCCGGTTCGTCAGATCACCTCAAACACGATTGATTCAATCTTGAATCAATTCCTCAAGGTTGCCCAAAGTAAGAAACAAGATAATGGTATGTTATGGGGGGCACCTTTTCTAGTATCGGTATCCACTATTCAACGAATTAACACTCCCCGTAAAGTGCACGGACGTGGAAGAAATTCATCATCAAAACAACTTAAAGTAAACGACAAATCACTAATTAAAATTCGCAACGACGAAAACTATTGTCTTTTCTATTCCTTGGTAGCTACATTTATTTATGCAACATGTCTCTGGCCCAAATGGAAATTTTACGACTACATGCATAGCCGTAGAGGGATGACTAATCAATTCAAGAAAGACTCAATGGATCTTATGGAAAGTGTTGGCGCACCTCTTGACCAGGACAGCTACGATGCAGAAGAATGGATTCCCTCTGTGGTTGAATATTGGAATTTACTGAATAAAGGATGGTTTAAAGTTTTTATTTTTGGGGATTTGGGGGAAAAACCTATTTATAAATATGGCCCCGATAATTTTAATATACCTATAATTTTGTTTTATAATAAGGAACACTTTGACGGGGTACGTAGGGCTAGCGATCTTTTTGGCGAACTCTATTGCCTATCCTGTGAAAGTGTTTATAATAGGAAATCAAATCATTCAATTTCTTGTAAATCTAGATGTCCTAACTGTTCA